CTTTTTTAAAAAGCCTATGATGCAGGTTGTATTATTATCCCAAGTATACAGAGGGTCGCCCTAAGGCTAAAGAGGGAGACTCAAGATCTGAATTCATGTCACTCTTCAAAACCTAATATTAAAAAAATTAAGAAAAGACCATCAATTTCTCCAGCATAAGTGGCCAGGATCACAAAAGGGACTCCGAGCCAGACACTGGAACCTTCTGGTTGGTACTCACAGGTGTCCCTGCATTTACTGTATGTTGCCACAAACCTTGTGTTCCCCGATAAGTAGGGATGGTGTGTGTCTGGAGATATTCCTGAAGGAGGAGAGGCCCCATATTCCAGACACACATGTGGCAGGGTCTCCAGGCATTCTACTTGGGGATTGAGCAGTTCAAATGATAGGCTGTCTCAGCATCACGCCAGTGAAGTTTCAGACAAAGAATCGGTCCATTTCAGCGAGTCCATCATTCCAGCAGCTTGGCCCTGTCTACACAAATCAGTTGGCAGGTGTTTTTTCTTTTCTCTCAATGTTTTTTTACACTGTATGATTTTCCTTGCTTACCCTGGCTATTTCTGTTTGATAATTCCTGCCTGAACAACTCTGAGCTTGTTTTAGAAACATTTTATCAATTATGGTTATGGTAATGCCAAATGTGGGTGTGTTTAAGTATTAGTAATAAAAATAATTACATTTCACCCAAAATAATGACATAATTTTGCCATGCTTCATGGGCTATAATCCTTTTATTTGCTTTTTTCTGCATGTGATTTTCAATAAAATTCATTCTCAGCAATAAAATTCTCAAAAATGAAATGCTAAACTTTATTATTTTACGTGACCTGAGAAACTTGTACAATCTCCCCCTTAGGATAGATAGAATTTGGATGTATCACACTTGAACAAGGCTGTCTTTAGTCAAGTGACATTTGAGTTGCACGTGATAGAAATTCACTAAAACTAGATGAAAAACAAAGTGCCCTTCTTCAGGAAAGTGTATTAAAAATAAGAACCAGAACCATACACTCATATACTTTGCAAAGCGATCTGATATTTCAAGTGCCCACTTGGCACCATACATAATTATTACAATATTATTGGCTACGTTCCTTGTGCTTTGCCTAACATGCCCGTGACTATTTTGTAACTAGCAATCTGTACTTCTCAATCCCTTCACCCTTTTCATTCAGTCCCCCAACCCAATTCCCCTTGGGAAACCATCAAGCTGTTCTCTGTATCTATAAGTCTGTTTCTATTTTGTTTGTTCATTTATTTTGTTCTTTAGATTCCACATATAAGTGAAATCATATGTTGTTTGTCTTTCTGTGTCTGACTTATTTTATTTAGCATAACACCCTCTAGGTCCCTCCATGCTGTTGCAAATGGTAAGATTTCATTTTTTTAAGGCTCAGGAATATTTCAAAGGATATGATTGTCTTAATTACTATACTGTACACCTAAAACTAAAACAAAAATGATATTGAACATATAAACTATAATTGAAAAATAAAAATTACCAATCAAAGAAAAAATAAGAACCAGAGCAAAAAAGATATGTCAATTAACAACAAAGTTCAGTTAGTAATTAATTAGAACATCCTTTTGCAAAAGGGTGCTCTGGGTCATCAAATTTCATTCTTCCATTTGTTCATTCATCCACTAATCCATTCTTTAAGATGAATTGAGCATCTATGTCAAGCCAGGTGCTGGAGACAATAGAGATTGGGCTCCAGGGTCCTTGTTCTCAGGGAGCCTCCTCTTCCCTCCCTCGTTATTCCTTCCTTCTGAGCATCTCTGTGTGTGTGTTGTTGAAGAGTTACTGAAAATAGTGCAAATGATAGGAGTAGGGTAAGAAGAAGCTATAAAATGGTCACTCACTCTTAAATCTGTTAAAGCTTAACTTTGGAAACCCAAATTGGGGGCTTGGTTAAGATGAGTCTATACAAGTATATTCTGTGGAATTCACTACTCATTGATTTGAGGACAAACATAATTCAAAGCTTCAAAAATTGAGCTCAGTAGTCACTATGACAGACAGGACCATTTCCTTTGAATGGTACTTAAGGCCCTCGCAGAAGAAATCTCCTAGTGCATCTGTTGCCGTAAGCTTGTTCCCCTGTCCCAATGCACGCATGGTGGTGCTACACACTGCTATGTGCTCTCACAATAACCCAGATGGCTGGTTCAAGTCCAGATTTCAGGACTTCATCCCCAGAGTTGCTGGTTCCTTAGGTTCTGGGAGGGAGCCTAGCATCTTGCATTTCTAGCAAGTCCCCAGGCAATGCTAATGCTGCTGGTCCAGGGACCACATTTTGAAAAGTACTGTCTTAAATAACTGTTATTCAAAATTCCCACAGTGGATGTGAACTCTTTGTTACCAGTCTGTGACAAGATAAGTACAGAAACTAAGTAAAAGGAAGTTTTGGGAATCTTTTACAATTTGACATTGCCACAACATCCAGGTACATGATCAGGGACCATACCTCATTGAATTGGGTATAGATGATCACAGGCTGTCAGATTTGCACGAGGAGTCACAGGTGGTGAGCGCTGCATTCTAGATATGCAGAGAGGGCCTGCATTCTGTGGTAGATTGGAAGTATAAAGCACTGGCCGTTCACCACACTTGAGAAGTACCACTGTCTAAAGCATCATGCCATGTACTATTTCGTTAGCAACATGGTCAACACACAAATGACTCAGGGTCACTCCCTTTCACTTAGCAGGGGACAGGTGGGAAGAGGAAAGGACCAGGTCTTGGCCTGGCATGTTCTACCCACCAGAGGCCCAGGGAGACGGGCAGTGCTGTAGAGAGTGGTCCTGGGTCTGACACTACATATCAGTAGAGTGGGTCAGCCCGGGGCCGAGGAGCTCGGGCTTTTTCTGAGGCAGGAGGTCTGGCCGGGCACAATTTAGGATGCACTGTCCAGTGCAAGGGTCAAACTGGGTAAGCAGGAAACTGGATGCTTCCCTGTGAGTGCAACTTGGGTCTTTCGATAGCGGGCAGTCAGGGAGACTTGAGAACCAATGTAGAAGGTTCTTAATTTTCCATTACCTGAACCCCAGGTCTGGGAAATTGACTTTAAACCTGTGCTTAGATGCTTGGGTATGACTAGGTCTACAGGGGGAGACTCAGAGCAGGCTCCACCACGGGTGTCCCCAGGAAGACCTAACCAGGAAAAGGGAAAGCAAACAAACCAACAACAAAAAACCCTCTTGATCTCAGCTACTGGGCTGGCATTTTCTTTTTTCTTTTTGAACACTTTTAAACAGATCAAAGTTTCCAATGACCTGATTCCTAGTTATCAGGATTCAGCCGTTCTCAGCCTTAAATTCTAAGTCCTCTTGGGTTGTCTAGAAGGAAGCTGGTATGAGTGGGGCTTCCTCTTTGATTTCAAAGCCTGATGGATGTGCCTCAGACTGACTTTGCTAACTGTCTTTCCAAATGGATCTCCTGATAGCTCTATGGTTTTATGAGCAGTGATTTATTTTTTAATACTTTGTACTTCAAGCTCTGATCAATTCAGTGTTCTCTCTAAGCACTTGTACAAATTACATTGCAGCTAGAGGAGGCTGGCGTTTGCAGTATGCCAAGGCCTTATAAGCAGCCATCGGGGCTGTTTGCTCTTCTAGTCCCCACTGAAGTCTGCCCCTCTCAAAGCTTGCTTGGCTGGAATCACCCCAAGAGGAGGTTTTCACTATCTGATATCTAGAAATAGCCATCAGCTTTGTTCTCATGGCCTCCAGTGACTAATTTGAAAGAATGACATTAAGTGCCCACCAGCTACTTCCTGGGGCCTCAGCCTCAGGACAGAGAACCAGCTGCCCCAGGAGAACCAAGGCTGCCTGCCGGCTCAGACCCAGTGATGCTACTGGCTTCTGATAAAAGTGTGACTTTCAAGAGGACCAGCGGAAATCAGCGTCACATGGAGGTCCACACTGAGAGACTGGGGCTTGAATTTTGCTGTATCATTTAGAAAGCTTTTGATCCCAGTTAAAAGGAAAATCAAGCCAAAATGGTTTAACAACAAAGGAAATTGAGTGGCTCATATTGAACGACAGGCAGAGCAAGCTTCTGTGTTGGTTGTTGCAGGAGTTCAAGGATGTCAGTGACTCTTCTCTCCACTCACTATTTTAGCTTCATCCTGAGACTGATTCCTTAATTTCCCTCAAGGCGGAAAGGCTGCGAGCTGCAATCAAGGCTTCCCCATTAGACTCCAGGAGAAAAAGAAAAGGCAGAACTAGTCTCCCCCAACCAACAAAACAGTCAGGCCACTTCAACATGATTGGCTCAGGGAATGCCCTGCACTGATTGGCTACAGTCTGGCTTATCTGAGCCAATCACTGGGCAAAAGAGATAGGATTACCACGGTTAGTTTAAACCCAGTAGAGTCACTCAATGAAGTTGAGGGTGGAGCTGATCACACCAAAAGCAATAATGTGCTATACCTGTTGGAGGAAGAAGGGAGGGATGCTGGGAGACAACCATCATGTTCACAGTGCCAGCTCTGCCATTGCATTCCCTTGACCTTGTCATTTAACCTACCTGAGCCTCAGTTTTCTCACCTATAAAATTCATAACCTTGGTATCCACCTCCTGGCTGCTGTAGGGATTAGGATAACAAAGAACCTTGTACTGTGTGTGGCACACTGCGAGTGCTCAGTAAAGATTCTGAGGGAGGAGATAAACTAAAGTAGGTGCCCACTGTGTTTGGACATTACATTCTCCCACAGGCTTGTTTCAAATGGATCTTCCTCCTCAGTGTACAAGAGAAATGACTTGGACGACAGACTACTCAGAGAGAGACCATTTAAATGCTGATTTATCTGGACATTAGGTGAAAAATTCAAACTAGGCTGTTCTAAAACATGCAAAGGGTATCTCTGAGTAGTGAGTTTATGAATAATAATAATGATAATACTAAAACAAAAACAATAAAATGAAGACAAATGAGAAGAAGTATCAATAGTTATAATTTACTGAGCACTTCTGGTGTTAAACTTTATAAGTACTTTACATGAGTTGTGAACCTGAAACGTCAGTTTTATTATACCTATTTGTACACAAGAAACAAACTTACAGAAGTGAAGAAGTTTACCTGAAGTCAATAGCCATTAAATGACAAGATTTGGACGTGAACACACATTAATAGGACTCCAAAGTTCCTTTCATGCATTCTCCACCCAAACTTGCAAAGGAGGGTGCCCTCACTCATTCATTCATTCACACATTCATTCATTCCCTCACCCTCACTCCCAGCAGATGGCCCCTGACCCCCTGCCATGCGTGGCATTGGGGGAAGGATGAATAGGACACGGCAGCAGTGCCTCGGAGAAGTAGACCGTGTCCAAGTCCTGGGATTCCAGGCTTATTTTAGGAGTTCCCCAGGGCAAGGTTGTGGGGAGCGGGCCTTTGCGCCTTTTCTCAGTCAAATGAGAACTGTTGAATCACTAATGATGATGGAGGCCCGGCAGCTCAGGGCACAGCGTGCTCCACGGCCTGCGAGACACAGGGGGCTGCTCTCTCCCCGCAGCAAGTCTGCCATCTGCTCTCCTCCATGAGACAGTTTAATCTTGAGCTATCTCAGGGTGAAGGGGGTCGGAACGTCAGAGGTCACCTTAGCTCCCCATAACTCTGCTCCAAAGCAATGATTGTTTCAGAGGAAAATGGCTGTGACCCGTCAGATTCTTCCTTATTCAGAATCTGGACTAGGCTAAGAGAATGTGTTTTGGTTTACATTGGTGATTCTATTTCATTCATCCAACTGTGTTGAGATGGCCTGTGTGATGGGGGTTGTGCTGAGGGCTGAGTATATGCAAATGAGTAAGCATCACAGTTGCCCTTGGCCTCTGGGGTCTGCTGGCTGCAGAACACACACAGAATATTGTACGCATTAGAATGCAGGGTCTGGCATAAATAACGCCCCACGTTGTATTACAATACCTTTTACTACAAAATCATAAGCATGTAATTCTATAACATAACACTATCACACTCAAGCACACCATATGACATTTTAGGTGAAATATCCAAATTAAGCCTATAAATTATTACACCCATATTATAATTCTACCAACCACACTCAAGTAGGCATTACTTCTGCTGGACCCTGTAGAATAGTCCTGCTATGCCCCAGAATGGCTAAACAGGATGTTATAATTTGTCTTAAGTTTTGAAAAATGAGTTCAAACTGGTAAACACTCACTATATCAACTGCCCATCCATCTGCCCCACAATATCCATCTTCTACCCTGTCTCCCCTGACCCTTCCTCAAGGACACTCTTTCCCCACAATGACTCCCAACTTCCCCATGAGCCCAAAACAGAGGGCTCCAAGAGCCTACCCCAGAACTGCAGCAGCCTCTGTTGTGATTGCTCTTCGTCTGGGCCTACCAGCTGTTAAATATTCTGGGTGTCCCTGCTGAATAAAGGCGGGTGGTTCCTGGGAGTAGAGGAGTGGGGAGGAGATGTGGGGACCAGCTGGAGGGAGGATGCCCTCAAGCACAACATATGTTGTCTCCTTGGAGCTGTGACCACACTTCAGTCGTGTTCCCCAGAACTTCCCAAAGGTCTTTTCCCATTACCCCTACCCTGCATTCACCCCTGCTGCTGAAGACTGCCAGAGAATCAGGAGTGGCTCAGAAACAGCGGGCCCCCAATGTTGGGGCCTGCCCCTGGGGTTCAGCCTCAGGGCCCTCCGACCACTTAGCTTGTTCATTGTGGGAATGAAGGGCTTTCACTTTGTATTTTGTAGGAATATAGGACTCAGCAACCAGATGCCCAGACCCCTTTAACTGATAATGGTGACTCTCCATTCATTAGAAGACTTTTGGCTGCTAGTTTAAAAACAAATCCAACTGGCTTAGACAAAGGGGAAAATTCCAAGGAAAAACAGCATAGACTGCGAGCATGGTTCTCTCGCAGCATCTGAGGATCCCAGGGATCTCACTGTCTGTGCTCTGCCCTCCTTGGGGTTACCATCAGCCTCAGGTAGGCCCCCTTCATTGCTGCAAGATGGTGGACAGCAAGCAAAATCAGAACAAGACTATATGTTCCGGTGTTTCTGTCCTCCAGAAAAAAAAAGAAGGAATTCTTTTACAAAAGCCCTCTAGTGGGCCCACCCTTGTAAGTCAGTCAGAAGCAGGCCACATGTTCACTCTTGTTCAATGGCACGAAGGGACTGCAGTCACCACTACTGGCTTTTTCATCAAGATTTGCCCCTGGAGTTGGAATCCCTATATGTACTGCCAGCAAATGAATGTCAGTGGGCACCCAGAAATATCTGTGGCTGGAACCTACAGAAAGAGGAAGGCAGAGTTAGAGAAGATAGTGCAGCGAGTAAGATGGGGAGCACAGGAGTGTGTCACTAGAGATTAGAAGTTAAAAGGCAAAAAAACCTGGTTGGAATGCTGGCATTACTTGGGTCATTGTTTCAGTTATTAATTGCTGCATAACCATCACCCCAACACTTGGTAGGTTCAAATCACAATCATCTATTATTGCTCACTGGTCAGCAAATCAGCTGGGTGGTTCTGCTAATCTGAGCCAGACTCATCTGAGCTCATTTGGACTCTTAAATGTCTGTAGGAGGCTAACTGGTCTAGAATGGTCTCAGTAGGGGCAGCTTTTCTGCACCACGTGGTCCCTCATCCTCCAGTAGGCTAGTCCGGTTTGTTCACCTGGCATCCCAGCAGAATTCCAAGGGGAAGAGCAGAAGTGTTGGAGGTCTAGGCTCAGAGCTGGGCACTGTCAGCAAAGCTTCATTCTATGGGCCAAACACAAGCCAGGGAACCAGTCAAAAGCTGCAGAGTCACACTACAGAGTATACATTCTGGGAAAAGCAAAGAGTTGTGGCCACCTTGGTAATCAATCTACCATTGTGACCTTTGCAAGACACTTCTCTTCCATGTACCACATCACCTCTAAAATGAAGCTAATAATAGTACCTGCCTTAGTCTCGTTGAAGATTAAGTGAGAAAATGCACATAAAGTGTTTAACACAGTGGTAAGTTCATGGTAAACATTAAATAAGTATTAGATTTTATTATGCTTATCTTTATGATTGTAGCTAGTGTTGTTATCATCATTATTATAGTTGTTATAATGATTATCATGATTTTGAGTGTCTATGAGCTGGATTATGACTCCCCCTAGGATACAAGTTTAGTACAATAGTTCCCAAAAGCCCAGACTTCATGGAAACCCTAGCTGGCTCCCAGAAACCTGCTATTCAAGGGAGGGTGACTTCAGAGGTGTCCCCATCTGCCTTTCTGCTCCACTTGGCTGCTTGGTGAATGCTGTTCACTCTGTGAGTGGGGGGTGGCTATACTGGCTGCTTGGAGGCCCTGAAATGTACCCCTCAATTGGAACCCTCCAAGGAGAAGTGGTTAGGTGCTATTTCAACAGAAACCACTCGCTTTGCTGGTGTGCCTCCTGGAGGAAGGGAGCAGGCTTCACTCTGGGGACGGCTGGTCGTCTGCTGTTCCACCTGTGCCCAGTGCCCAACTCTCTCGAGGCAATAACATTGCTTAGGGTACCCAGAGGGGGCCATGAGGGAGGGAAGAAGAAGGCCCCCAGCCACATAGCACACCTACTCCAAGGCAGTCCTCCAAGAATGAAAACCAGTCGACAATTTCTTGGAAAGGGGAATTTGTCTCTTAAATCTGCAAGAAGGAAAAGGGTTGTTGTTTTTTAATGGCTGTTTTTTAAGGGTTGTTGTTTTTGTTCCTGATGGAACACCCTCCCGGTGGTGGTCCTGGCATTTACACCCTGCACAGGCTCTGACAGCACCGAGGACAAGGACAGAAAGCACAGGAGCCTTTTCCGAAAGGCAGCCACTAATTTCATTGCCACCATGGTTTTCCCATCTGCTCAGGGATGGGCCAGACAGTTTTCCATGTGTAATTCATAGCTCTTTGTAATTTAGGCTCACACAGAATCAACAGCTTGATCAAGAAGCCCTGGCGAGAACTCAGAGGGTGACCCAGTTTCTGTCCTCGTCCACAGCCGGCGCTGGGCCCTCGCCTGTGAGCTCAGCTTCTCTTGGTTCCACTTCTCAGAGTCTGTTTCTCTCTCTCCCCACCACGTCTTGCAGCCCCTCGAAATCTTTTTTGTCTGTCCCTTTTATCAAACACTAGATTTCCACCTTCCAAATGTGCCATTCTAACCAGATACCTCCCATAAATTATACTGCTGTCCCCACATCCCCTGGCCAGGGCTAACCTGGAGGCTCGGTTCCCATTCCTCAGGTCTTTTCTCTGGGTTCCAGCCATGCACTTGCGCAGAACGTATGTAAAATTCTGCTGACACTGAGAATTCATTTGGCTTTCGATGCTCCAAAAGGCACATGGGAGGAGGCATGGTTTGTGTAAACTCAAAAGCTATCAGACAGCTTTGCTTTTTTCCTCTGAGAATTGGAAGATGGCTTCTCATGGAAGTTCTCTGAGTTACACTTGAAGGTCAGGTACATTCTTCTGCTTAAAGAGCTTTGGTTCTATTTGTGCTGTCAGCCTCCTGCTTTCAAATGGGCCAGGCAAGAGAATAAGGCCCATTTGCAAGATCAGATGCAAGCCTGTCACTGCATTGCCACTATAGCAGAGGACATCACAGAGTCAAGGCCTTAGAGCATCTGACTTCATCTCTTCATTTTGTAGAGGAAGAAACTGAGGCTCAGAAACAGGATATGGCTACTTAAGCAGCTGGTCATATGGTATATCATGTCAACAAGTCCTTAATTTTCTTCCAGTAAAACAACATTGTTACAAAGCACCTGGCACCTTTTTAGGTTCTTTACCTTCTATCTTGTTCAATCCTCATAAAAGCCCTATAACACTAGGATTTCTTGGTATCATTCTCATTTCATAGATGAGGAAACTGAAGCAGAGAGAGATTAAGTAACTTTTCCAAGGTCACACAGTATGAAGCAGCAGAACTAGGGCTCAAACCCAGGTAGCCTGGCTCTAGAGTCAGTTGGGAGAATGAAGTTTTAAATTTTTATCAGAAAGAACTGATAGGAAACCAAGGACCTTGACTAAGAACATAACGCACCTTATTAAATTTTCTCTTGAAAACTTAGGAAATGGCTGCCAAAGCCCCAAAGAGGAGGAAGAACATGTAAAGGAAGTGATATGAAAGAAAGAACCAAGCAACATGACTTACAGAACCCATCAAGTTATGGTCCAGGACGTGATTTGGCTCTTCTTAAAGGTTAAGTTACACCGAACTCTCTGAAACAGCAAATGCCTGGCCTGGGAAACATGTGCATTTAGGACAACAGACACGACTGAGATGCAAACTGCCAAGGAGACTCAGGTAGATAAGCCCATGCCCACTCTCCCCATAGTACTACCCTTATTAAAGGTGCCGTTCTGCTTCTTTACTTATCAGACTTGGGGAAATGCACAGATAGAAGTAGAAAGAGGACCCCATCTCTATCCTCAGTTCTGTAGTTGGTCAGGGAGCCCAACATGGCAGTCACAGCTGCCTTCTCCCCCCACGCTCTGCCAGCAACTCAGTTGGATGGATTCTTTATCTGATGAGAGACCAAATCTTTGATCCAGATGATCAGAGTATTTAGTGGTCCTGTCTTTACTGAGTTGTCTCAGTCTCCCTTTGCCAGGGATGATTGGGTGAGGATGTAGTAGGACATGGCCCCAGTGCGTCCCTTGGGTTCCACACAGCAAATTTCAAAGAATAAGAAAGGTATGCAAATGAAGTATTATTGGCTAAAATATTGTTGCCAAAAACTTGAACTTGAACCTGATCAAGCTTTTAGATTTAACTAACAGTTTATAGGAAATACAGGGGAAAGGAGTCTGATATCTTTAATAAACTGGAGAGAGAAAGAGCTTGAAATTTAAAGCCTAAAAGGAACTTAAGATATATGAATTAATTGTCATGTATGGGTCTTATTTGAATTCTGATTTGAACAAAAAGCCTCTTCATGTCATTAAGAGGTGACTGACTATTCAGTAACTTCTACTTTTCATGTTTAATAATTTAAATATCATAGATTATTATTGGTTAAACATTAATGTTAAAAATTTTAAATACAGAGCATTATAGGGACAATGAATATAATATTCATTTCAAATGATATACATATTTTTGTTGTGAAGTCCTCAGTAACAAGATTTCTAAGCATAAAATACATTCCATTTGCATGAAATTATGGAGGGGAAGTAGAGAATAAATAGGGCATTTACGAAAATAAAGAAATATAAAATTTCAAGAGTTTCCTTACATATTTTTAAAAAGCAGTAAGGTGGGTGTCAAATTGCCATAGGACTTAGATTCTGTGGGTACCTTTAAAAGGTTAAGTAGCAGTTCTATTTTGTAATATCAGTGTTGTTTAGGACCCATGTGATTCTTGCACAAAACGATCCCTTCTTTGATTGTTCAGAGAAAGATCCCTGTGTGATGGGGACAGTGGAGATGAAAAATTAATTATTCCTTCAGGAACAACACACGAGGCCCAGTTCCCCTGGGGGTAGACTGGCAGAGACTGCGACCTGGTTTTTTGTTTGTGTGTGTGTGTTGTTTTGCTTTCAGCAATTAGAGAGCAGTCCCTTGCCCTTTCTCAGGGCTTACTTAAAATGTCAAGAAGGGATCTGTGCACTGTTCTCAATGACTGGGCCTAAGCATTAGAAAACCCAAGGATTCTGCTTGTCATCTATATTTACTCATTCATTGGACAAATATTTATTGACCACCTACTGCACACATAGCCCAAGCATTGGGCAGAATTATCTGAATTTCATAGATTCTGGGACGTGAATTTTTTCAGCATGTTTGTCTTTGAATTTTGGACATTTCTATGACAATGCTTTTTGTTCATTTTTAGCTTTTAGCCCCACAAACAATTCCATGTCTTACAACCAAGATTTGATGGAAAAGTACTTTGTCCATGACTTACTTCTCTGCTTTCATCCAAAGAGAAAATATGCAAGATAAGAGAAGGCAAAATTCACAAATCAGCAGCTTTTGGAGCAAAAAAAGTCCTGGAGCTTGATGGTTCAAAGATGATCTGTGTGTTTCATTTACTCATGCTCTTCTTTGCCTTAGAAACATATCATTAAGTAAGTATGGATTATTTATTCTTATTCTATAGTTCTTCAATTCCCAAATGACTTTTTTATTGCTGAAGAGAGAGGTGCTTTCTACCCAAAAACCCATTTGGAAATTGATTTTTGATCTGTTGTTGAAGCCATAATTTCAGGAGACTGACATCTTTATCACGCCAATAGAAACTAGTTAGAAATCATTTTAATCAAGCAAAAGAAAGGTTTTTCTATTTCTTTTATTCATCTAAACAATTTATCGAGTCCCTATGATGGATCAGACACTGCCAAGTATTATTAGGGGACAGGGACAAATGAAATATTATCTTTGCCTTCATGGGACTTCCAATCTAAAGGGAGAGGCAAACTCGTGAGTCATTAACGCTCATTTAAGGAAGAATGAAATGAATACTGTAGCCAAGACCCAGGGGTGTCTACATCAGATCCGCACCACTCCACAGCAGTACACGGACCTTAAATTGAACAGACTAAGGCTGTTGTCCCCTTTGCTCCCCAATGTGGGTACAAAAGAGAAAAGACCCCACGTGGAGCTCAGAACAATGTCTCAAAGCAGCACTTCCATGGTTGATAGAAAGAGACAGCCCCGCCCACTGCAGGATGGCAAGGACTGCATATTTTGAAAACTGCACAGTCAGCCAAATTTTCCATTCCCCTCCACCTGCTGTTGTTGGCTTCTACCCAGTGATAGATCCCAGTGGTAGGTCCTACTGGTCATCTGTTCACTCCCGACTCTTTGTCCTGTCCTTCTTCCCTGTCCAGCACCTCCCTGACCCCTGTCAACCCTTTCTATTGTCTTCACCTCTTTCTGAGCTACAAGCTCTCCAAGGGCAGGCAGCAAGCCTGTACATCACAGGATAGACCCTAAAAGTTAATTTTGCTATTTCAAGGAAGGAAGAGAAAGAAGGGAAGATAGTGTCTATTCTTGAATCTGTGAGCTTAATAAACCAAAGGAAATGTGGGGTCCACCACACAGCAGGAAATTGCACCTTGGAGAGCTGAGGAAGTTCAACTCTGGGTTTCCCCTGCTGAAAGGGTCTGAGAGCAGTGAATCTCAGCCCAGTGCTTTGCCCGAGCCCACGTTGACAGCTGATATTCGTGCGAATGACAGGTAGTTGGGGGCCTAGTCAATTTACCTGAATCCCTAGAGCATTGATTTTCAAGCCACTTTTCCCTCCTGCCTGGTATGCAAGTGATTAAAAGTGAAGTTATTAAAGAGATGATATTGAAGTCCCTCTAATTTATGGAAGAGGGAAACAAGTCATGCACAAGTTTTGTTATTTTAGTTTTAGAAACAGATTTCTTGAGACAAATCATTCTGTATACACCCCAACAACACCAGCGGCCCCCCACCCAGCACAGCTCGGCCAGAGCTTACCTGCCCCTCCCCAATTCAGACCCAGGAGTCAGAATCTGAGACAACAGGAACTCTACACTCAGCCAGCGCCCAACATGGTCCTGCTTTCTTCTTTTAACCCACAAGATCTATAAACAAAAAGAAGAGAAGAAACATTACCATTTTTTTAAAAAAATCACCCATTCTAAATATGTTCATACTATTAAAAAACAAAACACAGTAAAAACCTTTATTTCTAGTACACACAGCTTTGTGCTGCCTAATTTTGAGAACTCTGTCATGTACAATATTTGGGACATACACATACTAAAAATTAATTATTGCTTATCTCAATTCAAATTAAACTAGGCGTTTGTATTTATCTGACAATCTTTTTTTTCTCCTAAACTTTATTTTCAATAACAATTTACATTCCATATTATTCAGTCTCTATGTGGCTTCTTCTGTAGATCCTTGGTTATAATTCTTCTCTTCAGCTAGTCTTCAGTTGGTGATTCAGGCTGATTGATCTATAATCTAGCTGTCAAACTGGTTTGGTGCTGTAGGAGGTGAGTGTAGCTTCCACCTACGTGGCCACCATCTTGGATCTCCTCTGTCTGACACTCTTCTCACTCACCGACACTTTTATATGACTATTTCTTCTGATCAAAGGGGTTTGAAATAATAAGTACCTAATAATGCTAGCCATTCAAGTATTAAACAGTCTATCAAAGGAAAAGGAGTAGCATCCCAGAAATCATAATACGGGCAGAGGTCTCACTCACCTATAAGAAGGAGAGCAGCCCTGGGGAGAAGGGAGAAGGGAGGCATCTGGCAGCAAAGTGAAGATAGAAGAGGATGGACAGAGCATCATCTGAGGACCACAGCTTGTGTGGGGCAATCCAGTGCCACCCCAGAGAGAGCCTGCTCTGCCCAGTCCCGTCTCCTTCCTCCTGGGCCTCTAAGAAAGTGAAGAATGAGACCTAGTCCAGTGCTTTGGAAACCATAATATTCCAACAGAGGAACCCAACTGGCTTTCGGCTTTCTCCCCTTCCCTTTGCCTCTCAGCCCAGGGCTTTCACACATGTTCTCATAAAGGCGAGACAAATATTTATAGGAGGAAAATATTAATTTTGCTTTGATAAGCTCAAAGAAACAGTTAAATTTGTATGTGGATTTTTTAATCACAGTATCTGGAGTATATAAACATGGTACACATTATCTCCCCCTCCCCTTTTTTTTGTGGCCTCAAAATTTGATCCAAGTCTGGGAGTTAAAAAGTCCCATTTTGTGTAATCAGGTTTTGGTTGAACATGATTGCTGAATTATTTTAAATTGAAGACACATGTCTGGAGGCTGAGCTATATGTATTATTTCAGGATGGTGTCCATTAGGTCTTATCCACAGGGGCTATCTTCAACTTTTGCCACATTCAATGCATTCTTTATACATCAGTATTTGCAAAATGGTGGATCACATATAAGGGAAAATTGGAGGGAATATGGTACTCGTTAAAGGGTGATTTTTTGAAATTATCTTGACTGCATTTTTCAGACCTGTTTCCAGTCTCCCCTGCTAAGGGTCCCAGAGCTAGTTGGAAATTTTCTGGGGAAAAACAAAGAGAATATTAAGACAATAACAGTGCATAAATGAATAAAACCCGGCAGTTGTGCAAGACCCTTTGCAAGGCTGTGGCTCTGAAAACTTTACAACTGAATCAACATTTACTTTAACTCCTTGTCAGCCCTAAACACTTTAAGTGTCTTAATTGCAAATCTAAATTGTTGCCACTGCCGAGAGCTTTTCCCTTTGAGTGCACTTGTCCCTGAACTGAGGCTTTTGTCAGACTTCACCTGGCAAGAGCAGCTCGTTGATTTTGTAAATTGTTGCATCATGTCCGGCCCTGACTTGCAGGTTGATGGCTCTCCATGAGCGGTGCAGGGGCTGAGGGAAACTCTGATGCTCCAGCAGTCCGGTGTCGCGGCCGCACCAGTCATCACTCCAAAGATGGCCTCTGTGCTAAGAGCTGGGGAGTCTGTTGCATGATTGTTTTAAAGCATTATTGAGGTATGACTTCCAAACCATAAAATTCACTTATCAGAAGTGTTCAATTCAATGATTTTGGAAAGTTTACAGACTTGTGCAACCATCACCATTATCTGACTTTACAACAAACCTTGTGCCCATTTGCAGTCACTCCGCATTCCCACTCCCCGCCCTTAGTAATCACGACTCTGCTTTCTGTCTATAGATTTGCCTCTTCAGGGCATTTCATGTAAAAGAAATCAAAGAACACGTGGTCTTTTTTTGTCTGCCTTCTCTCACTTGACGTAACATTTTAAGGTTCATCTATGTTTCAACGTATCCCAGTGCTTTTTTTTATTGCTAAATAATATTCCAGTGCATAGATATACCACATTTGGTTCACCAGTTCACAGATGCTTATTCAAGTTGCTTCTACTTTGATTTGAAATAAATCTGATACAGGATGGTTAATGTCATTCACAGTAAACTGTAAATTGGATTTACTTAGTATTTTTAAGGGGTTACCAAGGCTCTCATTCACGTTGTCTGCTGGGACATTCCAGTTCCAGAAGAAAGTAGGCTCCTGAGTGCTTCAAAAAATAATATTGATCAGTGAAAACCTTAGTGATTATAAGACATGAAATGATTAAGAAAACAGGAGGGGCAGCACTAGAAAATTTCGAGACTAAAAGTGGTCTGGATGGTGGCCTCAGTTCCCCTGTGCCAGCGCTAACCCGGAGTTAAAGGGCCCAGACCCACCGGCCCCATGGCCATTCCTGCTGGCAGCTGCAGCGCACGCTGCCTGATTTCTGAAGGCCTGCTGACTTCAATAACATGGAGGCCACTCAGACAGGAGTGAAGTTGGAAGTGGCAGGAAGGTGAACAGGTCATAACACGGGAACAGAGTTGTCAGGCTTTGTTTATTTTCATGCCTTCTAAGACTTCGGCGACTGATAGGAGATGCTGGCCTCTCTGTCATGAAGGAATGAGTGCTGTACATGATAGGAAGGCAGCTGTCTCAAAGAGTGCCCTTGCACGTGACCCCCAAATCACCCATCTAGGTCCCTGAAAAACCCACGCTATGATCCTTCCCTCAGGAATCCTCACAGAAAGCAGGTATGCACAAAACAACTTAGTTTATAGAACACGGTGCAGATCAAAGGAAAAGCCCAGCATTCTCGTCCTGGCTTGCCGCTAACCCTGTCGGTGGCCTGGGCCAGGTCGCTAACCTCCCTGGGCCTTGAGTGAAATAAGGGAAGTTGACCTTGCGATTCTTGCCTAAAGTTTTTTTCTACTTGCAATATTCTGTTTCTCTGATGACTTTGAAACTTATACTTTTGAAGCCCACGTTTAAAAGCTAAGCCAGTATTATCATCTCATGAGCAATCAGCTTACTTATGTCAAGAGACTCAGTGCGGAACGCCAACTGCTGACTACTTAGCATTTGGAACACGACTTTTTTCATGCCACAGCATTCCCAGTGGTGCCCCAACCTTGTTTTGCAGATAGGAAAATTGTTGTTGATATTTCTACATATTCTCTTGCAACTCGACTAGCTTCTTTGTGTCAGAGTTGGGAATTGGACCAACATTTTAGGGCTTCCAAGACCTTTATTGTATCAATTAATCCAGATTGCCTGGGAGCAAAGAAAATAATCACCCAAGAGCTTGTGTAAAATAATCCACCATTTAAAAAAAATCTCTGACTCAGTGGCCAAAAAAAGCCTTTCTTGTTGTTGTTTTTGTTGTATGGCTTAGGCTCCTATTGGAATGGTGAGACGTCCCTGGAGAAAGAGGTTGGAAGGGGCTTGCAGTTCAACAGTAGGTGGTAAGGCTTTACTCTCCCAAGAAGAAAGCATGCTTCCTGCTGAGAAGAATGTCAGCACATCTTTTACTCCCTTTTCCCAGGCTGCCTATGTTTTCTCTCCCTCTTGCCTGTGGAGCAATCTGACATCTCTTGCCCAGCCTCCCAGACACAGAGCCAGCTCCTGAAGGCTTAACACTGTTTTCATTAGGACTTTCAAGTACATCTCTTCTTAATGGAAGGCAGCAATCTTAGCCACTTCCCCATGGCAAGAACCAGACATGGAGTTTCCAGGGATGCCTGCTCCCTTCAACTCCATGCAGAACATTCCAGAACCCCAGCCTTTTGACCATTCTCCAAAGCCAGTGACCATCCTGGTAGTGAAAGAAATCTGGGGACAGATGGTATGAAATTGAAATTGTATTATCACTACCCTCACTCAAATCCTGGCTCGTGGTTTTGGCAAATCTCCACTGAACTCCATGCCTCTCATGCTGGCCTGTTGGAGGTCTGCGTCTGAATGTGGATGCCTGAACATCAGGGCTGACAGAGAGGCAGCACATTAGGAGGAAACTGCATTAGTGTCGTGTGGTCCCTCCAGACCAATCTGAAACACATGGACAATTGAAGAAGTCCACATGCCACCAGACGAATGAGGAGGGCTCTTGTCACTTGTAGACCCATCTGTTGTTGAAAAATAGCCTGTATTCGTGAGAAGCCATTCTGGGTTGGAAAGGGAGCCTAGTCCTTGGGATAAAAAAAAAGCTGCAAAGGTTCTTTTTCTGACGTTCATTTTTTAATTTAGCTGAAAGAGAGTCTCATAAAGCCATCAGAAGCAAGCACACAGCATTTGTGGGAAGTTTCTGACGTCCTCTTCTGATTCACTGTAGATGTCTGACGACCCCTCTTTGTTTCACTTCTCTCGTCAGTAAGATAGAAATGGTCAGTATTCACACTACAAACCAAGTATTAACAGCCCGGGCTGATTTCTGGAAGGCACTGAGTGGGGGGCAAAAGGGAGCAACAGGAGGAGGAAGAGTCTGTCCCTTGGTGCACTCTGGAGGGATGGCGAAGATTCCCAGCGGAATGTGCAGCATGCTGGTTCCAGTGCCTCCCATTGCCAACTTTGATAGACGCCACCAACAATGCATGGAGCAGTCAGGGTGCTTGGGTGGGGTCAGCCCCTCGCCTGATGGTGTTCGTTTATTCTCATGGTAGAGAACTACATTTCCCCCTCTCCTAAATATTTCAAAACAGTACAAGTATTGTGTAAGTCCATACACGTGAAAATATAAACTTTAAGTTCTCTGAGCAAAGGATTTTAAAGAATACACAAAATGACGTATTGCATTTCTCTACGCTCTTACTAAAAAAATCAATTTATTAATGATTAAATTATGCATGTGTTATTCTATCCCATTGTCATTCCAAAAGGAGGAAGGAAAGCAGGGAATTTGGGGTTCAGTTGTTTGCATTTTAAAATTTCTGCTCCACCACTAATTACTTGGATGACTAGAGTCTGTGCTTTAGCATTTATATTTATAAAAATAAGCATAACAACAATTACGATATTATTTTTATTATTATGCAACTTCAAAGGATTATTATGAAAATGAAAAGTTGCATGCTTTTTAAATTGTAAAGCCCTTCTCAAAAGTTAGTTATCATCTCTATAAGGGAAAAAACAGTAAATTCACCAAAGCATCTGGAAAAGGTTTGTCTTCTATACAGCGCTGTGATTAGTGAGTGTGGGATGCAAGGAAAAATTCTGACAATACTGAGATGAAAAGTGAGCTGTTTTGAGTAACATCCTCGTCTGTGGTTCTCTCTGTCCAATTCTGTCTCCAGAACGTCCTTGCTTCTTGAGATGGCTTCTATACGCTTCAAAACAGGGAGCTGTTGTTGACAAAGAGTTCCAAATTGTGACAGAGAAAATGCCGCTGCCATCTCTGGTCTCATCCAACCCCCTTTCCTTGGGGATCAGACACATTTTCCTGGCAAGATGTTCATTATGCAGAGTTTGCTTTGTAATTTCCTTCAACTTCTGCTTGCGGGCAGGGTAAACTGTGCCTTTACTCCAGGATTCAGGAGAGTTCTGAGGAAGGAGAAATTGGAGTCAGTTGTGGGGACACTGCTGGAATGGTGCCATCAGACATGGGCTTCGACAGTATTGTCTCCATCATAGTTGACTGTAAATGATTCATTACTTTCTCACAAACATTATTGTTAAAAAACACTGGAACCTGAGGTTTCTAAATTAATAAAACTCCTTATTGACAGTACACTATTTCTTTAATAACTTATTTCTGACATGGGCTCATTGTATGAAGATATACTGATCTGTCCTTAAATGGATCGCAGTACTGCCTTCCCACCCATAGTCAGAATGATCTGTGCCTCCGTAAGTCAGGAGTCCCACAAGGTTTTCTTCGGCTGATTCGGAGGGACAAGGCAGGAAAAACTGGGGGACCAGAGACAAACAGATATGATGTCCAAGAGAAAGGGCATTTTAGACTTAAAGAAAAGGGGCCTGAGATGGCATAGGCTTTAAAGAACGATGTCTCCTTAATTTTACGCGCTGCCAAACAGTATGAAAATTATAGTCCTTGGATTGAGTTCAGCATCATATGGACCAAACAATTAGATGTTTTAAAAGTCTTCATTTTTGTCTGGGTGGTAGAGACAAGCTACTAGCTGTAACAATCCAGCTCTCGAAGCATTCTGCATTTTTCTCAAGGGGGTGGTCAAGGATACTTTTAAAATTCTAATAAAGAATCAGAATTTTCAGAGGCATAAATAAATACAAAAGTTTGCTCAACAATTACAGGCATTTGATGGATTGGCTGAACTGTGTATTACAAAGGTCTGAAGTTCTTCAGTAGCTCCTGAATCTGCCCCTTTCTTAGCTGTTTTTCACAGGGATAATGGACAACAATGGAGAACTGCTGACACAGGAAGCCTTATGACAATAATATTTATCAATACTATTTACGTGATCAATAGTATTGATAAATATCATAGTCCTATGTGACAAATAGTAATCTTTTGTTTTCAGATCTTTTTAGTCCTGAATAGACAGCAGTTGATGAAAATATCACCCTTTGATTAATCTTTTCAATATCATCAGGTTATTAAAAAAATGAAACTACTTTCTGGAAAAGATTCTTTAATTCTTTAATTTCCAGAAAGAATCTGTATCTTTGCATCCGTCTGTTTGTTTAACTATCAATCATTATTGCAACAAAATTTTCCTTAGGCAAACAAGTAAAATCAACTTGTAAAAGCAGTAGAATTAAATAAAGAGCTAAATATATAGTAACTCCTTTTTGTGGCAAATGGGTCAAGGTTAAAGCTCTTCCATAAGAAATAAATTTTTTATGCAAATAAAACCTTAGTTTTACTTTTAAAGTACAATAGTCTATTAATTTTGAATAACGATAGAGGATTGAATAGATCATTGTTTCCCCCCATTCTATTGAGAATTAAGATATACCAACACTGTTTTTATAAGATACATTAAAAACACATTTGAAATTTGAAAAGATTTCTATCAAGTTTTTATTTAACGAAATCAGCTTTTTAAAAGAATGTTATCTTATTCTGAAGTAAATACTTCACAAATTCACACTCATACAATATGAAAGTATTTTCGATCTTAAAAACAAAAGCATTTTGTAGCCAAGTTAAACTTGAAAAATTAATTTCAAACAGCTGAAAATTCTTTAAAAAGGCATATTTTGTTTTTTCTTGATTATATCACCAAGTAAATTCTGATATTAAAAATGCCAGGGCTGAGGGATGTACTCCCGCCGCAAAGCCTTCTTGTGTTATTTCCCAAAGAACCAAAAAAGAAAATAATTATATATGGGCTGATTATATAGGTGAGAATATTGTTTAATTGTACTTTAAATTCAATCTCCAAGGTGGTTGCTTTGTATAATAAAACAGCCCACAAATCATAAAATTTATAAGTGGACTGTTCTGCATTTGCAGAGTGAATGTTTCATTTTCAGAATTACCGACGCATAAAAATCATCCGTGCCTGCTGGTGAAAGACCAGTAAACTTTCACGTGTTCTGTAAAACTTACATGCTGGAGGCCAATACTCGCAAAATTTAATGATCTTTCTGCTAATAAAAACCAACCTCTTTTTTTAAAAAGTAAGGAAAAGAAACAAAACATATACATCCTAAGTGTACTATTTTTTTAAAAGGTGAGTGGGTGAAATCACCTATTTTATATTTTTAATTTGCTCATGTTTGGTCTAATCGATTTCTTTTTTCTCCATAGGAATAACTGGACATGTGAAACCGAAACTGATGTGCTTGGTCTATCGTGTCATACCTTGAAGGAAATCAGTTCTTTTTGGAAAATGACAACAAGGTAAAATAAAAATGGGGCTGGCTTTGGTGTTTTCATGTTCATAAAGCAAAAAAGAGGGGGCAACAAAAAAACATAACAACCCACTTTCTTTTAAATGTGTTTTGTCATTAAACTTAGGGATTTTATACAACTGGGTATTTATTTGCTGGACATCCGCTGTGTGTGCCTCACAAATGCATTGTAGGCTAAGTTTCTCTTTTGTTATTCAGAACTCAGCAAATCTCTTAGAATCAAATATTCTACTGGGCGAGCGGGAGGATTCCCTGGCTGGCTCACAAAATTCGAAGTAACTCGCAATTTAGTTTGCTCTATAGATGAGGAGAGTTTAAGTAGCAGTTGACCATTAGGTAAAAAAACAAAAAACAACATTCTAGAAAACACATTCTCTCTCCCATCTCGGGGGTGTTTCAGAAGCACTTCCGCCACCAGCACCATAGGACTAGGGGTTAATCTTACAGACCATGAATTCCTAAATTCTTTAGTATCGTTTAAAAAGATAAAACTAGGCCTCTCAAGCAAATATAAAATAAACTCATTTCAAAAATTATTTTAATTTATTAATTAATGAGGAAACAAGGAAGATGTGATACCATGGGTCAAAGAATTCAATAAACCACATGTATATGAACAATAAGGAATGCTGAGATGAATTTACATAGACAAGCAAAAGAGTATATCCACAGAGCAATGATCGACTACATTCCTCTCAACCCAATTAATATGCATTTTACAGATAAAAATTATTCTCATTTTCAAAGTTTTCTACAACTTGCAGAATTATTTTTAAAAAACAAACTTAAAAACAGTGAAGGTGCAGATAACCACGAGATTTCGTTAGGACACTTAGCAACCTGCCTTTCTTCTATTTCATAGTGTTTTACCATCCTTTCTGATGAAAGGTGCAACAACAGAGTCCTCTCAGTCAGTTGTACCCCTGATGTTGTGACTTGGGGAGGGCAGACTGAATTATCCTCTCTCTGTTTACAGTCTGGACCAGGGCTGTCCAATAGAAATGTAAGGCAAGCCACATATGTCATTTTAAATTTTCTGGGAACCATTGCAGGGGGGAGATCATCCTACAATGGATATTCTTATTTTAAAAAATATTTTTATTAAAAAAAGCAGTTACAATTAATTTTAATAAAATTTAAATAAGCATATGCAAGCTATCCATTCAACATGTAATCATACAAATGGTCAATAAGGTATTTTGCATGCTTCTTTTCATTCCATGTCTTCAAAAGCCAGTGTATGTTTTGCATGTATCGTGCATCTTAACACAGACCAGCCACACTGCGAATGCTTTACTGACCACATGTGGCCAGCGGCTACCAGGCAGCACAAGTCTACATAAATCAAACACTCATAAGCTAAGTTTTGCAATTTTTGAAATATTAATTAAAACATTTAGATCTGCCCCAGCCCTTCCATGCCCATAGCATTATTTTCATAGTGGCCAGGTTTTCAGATGTCCTCACTTTGGAATGAGGCATGATCAATGCCCAGGGTGAGTGGAATTGGAGGTCGTTGTCTAGTGAGGCCCCGTGAAGTTGCTCATTAGCAGTCTGTACTGTTGCGGAGACCACCCTCACCCCTGTGATGTGTGAGAGCGAGCGAGCAATGGAAGTACAGGCACAGAGCGATAACCATAGTAATAAACCTAATGTTGCTCTGCCTGTCACCCGAGTGTGGCAGCGCCTATCAAAAACATTACCTTTTTCTTTTTCATATCACCCTGGTGAGGTAAAGAGAGGGACATTTCTCATTATCCCTCTTTCACTGCAGAAAGACAAGAGACATTTTTCTTCTTAGCAAAGAAGTCACTAAAGTATATCCATCTCAGCATCTTGTATATGCACAGGCCTCAACTGGGCACAGACAGAGCCCAGTCCAAGTTCCACCTCCAGAAGGGAGAAGGGCCCCTCTCCACTGTAGGGCTGCCATGACATCCAGGGAGTGCCTACCTCATCAGTGCCAGGCAGATGCTGAGGAAGAAGGAAACAAATGGCCTGGTGAAATCCATCCGTCAGAGAGGCACAAATAGTGTAGGAGCTCACTTATATGTGGCATCTAAAACATAAACCAAGTGAACAAATATTAAAAAACAGAAACACTCTTATAGACTTGAGAACAAACTCATGTTTGCAGAGAAGAAGGAAAAAAAGTTAAGAAAATCAGATTACAAAGTTAAAAAATAAGTAAGTCGTGGGGATGTAATGTACAGACAACACAGGGAATGTTATCAATAATCTCATCATAAACTTCCAAGACGATGGACAAGTTACTAGATGCAGGGTGGCAACCACTTCCTTAGGTACATTAACATTGACAAACTATGTTGTATAGCTGAAACTAATATAGTATTAAATGTTAACAATATTTTAATAAAAGTAAACATTTACATTGTATTTAAAATTTAAATGAACTTTTTAAAAGAAGAAGTGAGCCCCTGCTTTTCCACTGAGCCAGAGCAGGGATGGCGCTGGGACCCTCCCTCTTTAAATCAGCACGCTGACCATCTCTGTGTGTGTTGACCACTCTTTACTGGCCCTTCTCCCCACAAGGAGACCTGAGCAAAGGGAGGAAGTGCCAGGCAGGTTCAGACAATCCATGGATCCCAGATGAGACTCTGAATGAGTGTGTGTGTGTGTGTGTGTGTGTGTGTGTGTGTGTGTGTGTGAGAGAGAGAGAGAGAGAGAGAGAGAGAAGCCACAGGCTGTCCCAAGATCCAAGACCTTTACCCCCTTCATCATTTTCTTAGGACTCCAGTGGCTAAAATCAGGGCCCCAGGTACCAGTGCCCCACAGACTGCCTTTTAACACCCCCCTGCATGCCCTCTCTTGAACTTTCAAAGGAGCATGCACAGCAGTTTTCTCCCTACCCATAGGACCAACTATTTTGACTCTGGTGGCCGCCATTTGCAATCATCACCTCCTGTGTGTGAATGGCACTTTACCACCTGGGGACAGTCCTCCTACTCAACCGGCCGTGTTGGTCTGTATTTAACATTAGCTGCTCCATAATAACCTATTGAAGGCTAGGCCCTATAATGTTTGTATAAGGAGGGGAGCAGTTAAGAAAAGACTACATGGGCCGAATTCAAGAAGGGGGCTATTTCTTTCCTACTATAAACAGAAATGATTATAAAACCAGAACCCAGAAAGGGCTCCTCACCCTCACTTTTCTGTGAGGGGGTTTCATGTCTCCACAAGGCCCACTCTTGGCATGCTGACTTCTCTGGGTTTTGACTGCATTCCAGAGAGGGAGATAGAAACCAAAGCAAACAGAGTGCCCCCAAAGGACTGTCTCCTCCCTCCAAAAAGCTTCTATTTTTAATTCTCTGCAGCTTTTAAAACATTTGAAGGGGGGTGGTTTCAACAGCCTGTGGTAGGAGAGAATTCCTGCTCTCTCTAAGGACCGCCACTTCAGATACTCCCAGCCCGCAATGGGACGCCAGGGCCTGGCCTGGGCAAAGCGGTGATCTTGGCAGTTTCTTTTCAGCACATTCTGTCATCACAAAGTAACTTTTAACAAGTGTGTTTTCCTCTCCGCAAAGGAACAGAAAGCATGTTTGGAGCTGGTTGCTAACTGCAGGCACAAATGCACCTACTTTCCCCCTGAGCGGCTGCCTCTCACATAAAAACACATTTTACTGGAGCTCAGTGTTTTATGTGGGTACTTGACTTTAAACCAGGGACCCCTAGGCTTTCTGTGGGATTTCTCACATCTGCCCCACCAGGCAGGTGGCAAAAGGTTAGCCCACTTTTGACTGGTGGGGAAATGGGCAGACCCACGATGAGAGATCTTCCTGAGCATTTACGTTCTGTCGGGTTGAGGCCTCCGGGCACCTTTGTCCCAAGCACACAGTACAGTGTCATCTTGTATGCGTCCCTCGTGCATTTATTGTCCATCAGCCAAGATGTTCATGTGGCAGACATATCTTGAATTCGGCCCCATACCACGCACCCGACTCCCCAAAGCTGGCTATGCTACGTCTTCTGAGGCCAAAGCAGCATGTGACAACCCTGAACCCAGGGACCACAAGGAAGAGAATTTCTTAGAATTTTTTTTGTGTTATCCCAGGCTGCCTTTGCTGGCTGTCTCTGTACCCACAGGGCTCACTTTCAAAAAGACATATTTAAGTCAATTGGCCGTAGGAAGTACTAGACACAAATAACCTCTCAGGATTCCTAAGGACAGGACTTGAAGCTTGGGAAGGAAACGCCAAGTTAGCTGCAGGCGTGAAGGTGATGAGAAGCACTCCAAGGTGGTAGAGATTTCAAAGTTATTTCTACCTCCTAATGTTACAGCCATTAAACCAAGAATTTAAATCTTTAGCCAAAATGCTCTATTTCCTAATACAAAGTTCTTACTTGGCAATATGCTGCTTATAAACGTCTCCTGCTTTTTCCTCTTCTCTCCAGCTTTCAGAGCTCATTTTATATTAAATAAGGAACGAAGCAGCAGAAACCAGAAGAACTAGTATGTCTGGGCTCATCCCTTTCCCCATGATTTCCTATCAACTTTGGATCCAATGAAGCCTAGTAGTAATTCAGCCATGAACTTGCTGCATAAACCCTGGAGGGAGATTTGTAGCATATGTTTTCAATTCATTTACACTGGACTCATCAACATAGGTTGCTTCCTGTTTTGTTTTGTTTTGTTTTGTTTTTTAAAAAGAGCTATTTGATGTTTAAGGAATTATTTCCACCTTTTAAAATGAACCTTTTAGAGCCTCACTCTGTTCACAATAGGAAGCTGCCAAATGCTAAGAGAATAGGAACTCGAGTACAGGAAGGTTCAGGGACAGTCCACAATGCAGAGCCATGAATTTAGAGAGGGTTCAAAAGTTGGCAAAGTGAACCTTCTCATCCCTACCCACAAATAATAAATAACAATCACAACTAGGAAAAGGAGAAAGAGGAAAGCCACTGGAAAGCTGTAACTTATCCGGTCTCCAGCGTTACCGCTCTCTCTAATAAAGCAGGAGTTGTTCGGAGAACTCAGGTGGTGCTGCCTGCAGGGAGCTGAGCTCGTCTTCCGCCGTAAATTACCTGGCTGGGGATAAGCTTTCCTCCAGACCCATCAGCCAGGCAGCTCTGCGAGACCCATCACCCAGCTCTGTACTTCTTAAATTATCCTTCATCTGCTGTGTCATCTGAAAAGCTGGAGGGAGAATGATCACCCCCAAATCTGACCTTCCCATACCACAAGGCTTTATATACATAACTTCCCTGCAAGAAATAGACACACCAGAAACCTACTTGCAAAAAGAAATGAGGAAGACAAAGCTTTCTATATGCATCTCTAAGTAAACAGTACAATATTTTCAAACTTATTCACAGTAAACCAAAAAATTTTTTCCATGGCACTGTGACCCTAAGTCTTTTTCCCAATTAAGATAGCCATAGCGATGTTCAAAATCACTGGAAGTGAGGATTGGAGAGAGAGCACTTTTCATCTGCATTCTCACTTTGCAATCAAAAGCCTTTCCAATTGTATTCAGATGTGCACACACACAGACAGATGCGTGCACACAAACATCTAAGGACCTGCAGTATTTGAGTAAATGGCTACAACAGTGCCTTGAAATGTGATCAAGCCTTGAGAGCGGGTACTAGGCCAATAGAAATAACTCTTACCCATAAAAAGTTCCATAATAAATCAGAAAGCCTTTTCTTCCATATGTCACCTGACATGTTTAATCTGTCTGCTTTGACAGAACTGTGGCAAGCACAGCTGACCATTGGTGAAATTAGATGGGCTTTTGTGCCGAAGGGCAGGGCATCAGGTACAGAAGAGCATGGGAAGGACATTGTGAGCATCTTATAAACACTTGTGGGCTAGCTCCGTGCAGTAGAAGTGTACAAAAGAAGGGGACAAACATTGCTGATGTTCCAGGTTAAAAATACCTTTAGCTAATGGGTCGGCAGTAACAGTCAAATCATCAAAATTTAACTTCTTTCCTCATTCGCGGCTCCTTGGAATTTAGCCTTTGTAATAAATGCTAGGAAATAACATAGACTTACTCATTTTCACTTCAACATTTTACTTCTGGAACATACGATTATGCCATAGGTAAGGAAATGAACTCTTTCTAATGTCTGCATCCTCTAAACTGCAGGAAACCAGTCGATTTGTTAGTGTCAGGCTGGCTAACCTTGGATCTGCTTATAGCATTCATTTTGGAAGGAAGAACTTTTTACCTGGAGAAGGGGCACACACTGATCCTGCCAACAAAACGGCTTTTAAATGCCTCTGCTTCATTTATGTAAGAATTAGGGTCATGGTCACTGTCGCTGACTTTCCTTTCCCCAAACCACCTGGATCTTCCTCCATGCCAAATCTTCCACAGTGTCGAGGAAGAGCAGAAGACCTTCACTTTACTTCCAAATGAAGACCCTCACTTTACTTCCAAATCTTCATGAAAATCCTGCCCTGTAACAGAGGAATAATCTATCCCCCATTTTACAGATAAGTGAACTTGAGACATGGACAGAGATCAAGTTGCTGACCCAAAGTTACCTAGTAACAAGCCCTAAACTCAAACCCAGACAATCCGACCCACAGTGCACGTTCTAGACCACCCACCCGCCCACCTGCGTGTGAGCCAAATTTCCTCAGTTAGAGGTGTTTTTTAATAAGAAGATTATTTAAGGCAGATCATTACTCAATTTTATCATTGGTTAAATATACCAATATAAATATAAATATTGGTTCTATCATTGGTTAATTCTTTTTGCTCATGTTCTCCTTTCTGTTTTGATGCAATTGAAGTATAATACACAGACATAAAAGTGCCTAAGTATTCAGCTCCACAAATTTTCATGAGTTGCATGGAACCAGCACCTACATCAAGACACAGACCATTTCCAGCCCTCAAGCCTCCCCTGTGCCCTCCTCCAGGCTTGCCTTTCCTGACCATTACTCTCCTTTCTTTTTTTTTTTTTTTTTTTTGCAGAGAGTGGGTGGGTGGGAATTTTCGTTGTAGGCACATGCTTTGGAAGCAGACTGCCTGGGTTGAAATCCCACTAAGCCTTTTACAAACTGCACATCCTTGGGCGAGTTACTTAACTTCTCTGTGCCCGAATTTTCTCAACTTTAAAATGGGGATACTAATAGAACCTGTTTTATAAGATTGTGGTGAAGATTAAATACTATAGTACACCTAAACAGCTGAGATCATGGTAAATGGAAAAGATCAGGGTAAGCCCTCAGGAAGTGCCAGCTATTGTTACTGCTGGAACATTGCTCCCCACTCCCAGAGACTGTCCAAGGGAGCTGACCGAGAACCCACACAGACAGGAGAGCGAGGGAGAGACAGAGGAATTCTAATCAAGCACACGCCGTATATCAACCTAAGAATATGCCCAGCTCCAGACTGGGAAGAGGATCGGACAAAACAGGTTGAGTAAGGAACTCAACTAGTCAGCTTCCCAGTCTGCAGAATGGAGATTTTGGAATAAGAGTGTTCTTTGAAACACTGTGTAGTTTCTCACAAGTACTGTTCATACTCAGCACATGCACAAATGGACACCAAAGATGAGCAGGCAAGAATGCCTTTCCAGATCATCCACGACCTTTCCATCCCTACCATGACCCTTAATAGTCGAGAACTGAATGTAAATTTTTTATTTCCAACAATAAAAAGGGTGTGGATTTTGTTTTCTGCCTGATTCACAATCTTGTCCCTCCCATGATTCTGCATCATTAACCAGGCCCTTCTGACCACAAAGGCAAAAATCTCTAGTTGACATGACTTTTTAGGTGGATCCAGCCATTGTTCCATGTCCCATTTTTTAAACATATTTTGTGCCATTTGAAATATTGTATACCCTTTTAATTTAGAACTTCTCAAGATTCTCTACAGTAAAAATCAACAGTAAATAGCTCATTTAAAGTATACATTCTAAGAAACCAGAAGCCTTAGGAAAATAAAAACACAAGATTGGAAACATGCCATGCAAAATTTTTTCCCAGCCCAAAGAATGCATTTATTGCAACACCTACATATTTTATGAAATACTTAACGAGTTATCCAAGTTTAAAAAACAGGAAGAACAAAAACATTTCAAGTAATAGTAAAAATGACAAGCGTATAATTCCAACTGGAATAAGGAGTTGACTAAAATGAAAGATTACCATAGTTTAGGTTCCCAACAAATATTGAGTAGATCAAGGCCTGATACACTGATTTGAGTTATAACTCGGTTTAGAAAAACTGAAAATGGATAGAAAAAGAGGCTCATGCTTGCTTCCCCCACTCTCTCCTCCCCTTACCCTACTCCTCTCGTCTCTGCAGTTTTTACAGCATCTAACGCTGTACACTTGCCAGCTCTGATAGATCTTTTTACCACAATAGAGATAATGTTACTTACAGAGCTTTTCAGCAGCGTGGCCACGTGGCCAGCCAGGTCCTTGGTCTGAAAGGAACAAATGCTTCCTTCCTGGGTGGCTGGCTGTGAGCTGGAACAGTACATGATGTTCAAGATAAGAAAACGAAAGTTCCAAGCTCTGAGTCTGTGCGGTTTAACCAAATGAGGTAAAGTAAGAAGTAACAGGACAGTGAGGAGCTGCCTTATTTGCAGCACCGTGTCGGAGCCAGTGCAGGACTGGAGATGGACAACTTCTCTCTCAGTCAGAGGTGGGAAGGCCTTGTCCCCACTCCTTAGCTCTGCATAGATATAAATAGGACATTAGCAGCTCTGTTACCTTTTAGGGACATTGTAAATACCAAAGAGATCATTATTAAGTGATTCTTAATGCCCTTGAGTGTGCTTTGGAAGGTAAATTGAATTTATAACCTCCTGTCCGTGGATAAAGATTGTGTCCACCTATTTCTAAAACCAGGGCTTACCTTTGACCCTCTTAGGTTCCCCCAATGCTTTAGACAGTTGGGCTCACTGGAAACAGGATGCTGGTCATCATCTCAGCCAAGGCAACTGGCCTTTATTAGTCTTTGACATGGACCAACACCCACAGAGCACAATGTGTCCAACTTTTGTCCAGAGCAAGCAGGCCCCACAGCCTTCTTCTGACCCTTAGGCTCCTCTTCTGTGAAATGGGGATGATAACAGTGTTAGTTTCTGCCTCGTAGGGGCATTTCTGCTCAGTACACCCTTGTGTACCCAGCCTGCTGCCACCTCGGGGTCGGCAGGGGAATAGACACACCTGGCCATCGTTAGCTGTGGGATGCCCAGCAAGTCACTGAACTCTAGCTGTCCGCTTCCTAGTCTGTTGAACGGGAAGAATGAGAGCTGCCTGCTAATGAATTTAATGGCCTGGAACTCACCACATTATTACTACTGACTTGGCTGCTCTCATTTTGACTCAGATTATTTGTATCTCTTGTTTGTAAGAATCTGCCAGGCGCCAGGGATGCCCTAGGCTTTATTCTTGCCTCGCTTCCATGGACACAACTTAAACTCTGCCCCATGGAGGTCAAGGGCCTTTCAGCAACTCAAGTCCCAGAAGTCTGACTGGACCTCACCCAGACCTGACCACTAGAGGAAGGCGGGTTGGGAGAGAAGGCTGACCCAGTTGGGATGCTGTGTTCTGTTGCCACTCTGTCTCTTCTTCAGCAAGCCATTGCTAGGAGAAGAAAATGGCTTCTCCATCCCCAGACTGTCCTCCTGGACTCATTCCTCATGCTGTCTTCTGCGGTGGTGGCCTCAGATTGGTTTTTCAGGTACTCCTTTCAGTAAAACATTTTTGAGCCACAGACACCTGTATGTGTTTGTGTATATGTAAATTACATATACACAGTACTCTGCTAATATGTTTTGCGCATTTGAAAAACACATATACACTCTATAGTCATTTTTTAAAATGAGATTAAAAAGTAAGTAGGGGATGGAATTCAATCATTTTCTTCATGCACCTGGCAGATCATGGTGGGCTCCCCCAGCTGCCGTCCGTTCTCCTGGCCCTGTGGGAAAGACATTCTCCCGTGGGAGCCTGGGCACCCCATGTTTGTGAGAGATTTGCACACAACCATGAGCCAAGAGCAGGTCCTCTGGCCAGAATGAGCCTTTGTTCTCATCACAGTAACATCGGGCAGCTTCATGAGTACATGACAAGTGCAGTTAAACACAGCCCCATGCTCAGGTAGGGCCCATGTTTGGTCAAATCTCAGCCATCACCATCTTGAAATTCTTGAATTTGTGAGGTCCAGAGGGGCAGCGGAGCACATGCGAGAGCAGAGGAGATATTCACAACATGCACATTTGCTGCCCTGTTCACACACAGTGCTGGTGATGCACCATGAACACCACATTCCCGTGGACCCACCATGCTGGAGTTCAGCAAGATGCAAAGTGAGCACTAAGGTGAGTGTGTTAAGAGAGCCACCTGCTTCAAGCTTGTAGTAGAATCGCATGTTTCAAGAAGTGAAATAACAACAATTCAGTTTGTTTTGTGACTTGTTTCTACTTACTATTCTGGTAAGAGTTAAATACATGTGCCTGTATGAGCTACAAAAACCAAATTGTATAATTTCAGCAATTCCACACATAAGTTAAATGCTCTTATATTTACATTTAAAACTGGCATTTGACAATATAAAGATGAACAGAAAAGTCATGCTAATAATTTAAATTTAAATTTTTCTTTTTTGAAATGACATAGCAAATGAAAAACACCATGATAGGTTGTGTAAAATAGGAACATATTTTATACGTTTATACTTCAATTTAATTAATAACATTAATAAATTAACAGCCCCTTTTTCTCTTTGAAAAAGAGATCTCACATTTTTATTTTACACTATAATCAACTCTGTCCCCAGGCCCTGACCAACATCCCAATGGCCAGCCTATCTGGAGTGAGTCTACTTCACCCCCTTCTCTCACTGACACAGAGAAGATTCTCCTCCATTCTGCTCTAAGAAAGGACCTGTCCTTCCAAGACCACCATAAATAACATTAAGTTGATTTCATACTTCATATTGAATTCATGCAACAAGTATTTGTATATTTATATAGTTAAAGTTTACATAATAAAATGTTAAGCACTTGCCCAAGAGCACAGGTATTTCTTCTACCCTGTTTAGGACAAAGCACAAAATTCCTGCTGAAATAAAAAGATCTGAGTTCAAAAAAATACTGCTACTGAAACTTGAGGCCTGAGCGCTGAAGCATCTGCCCTTCAGAAATCTTCGCCCATGCCCAGGAGCTAATGATTTCCAGAGATGGCCACAGCAAACAGTTCACAGGAGCCTGGGTCACTGTGTCAAGGATCATGTCAAGAAGGGAAGGTCACCAGTTCCAAATATTTCAGAGGTGAAAAGGCCATTCTTATAAATACCGTATCCTCCACATTCAGCACACCATGGTACGTGCTTTGTCATAATCTGGTGGGCCACCAGCTGTCACCGAGGGAGCCTCTATCCAAGTGAAATTCCTCAGTCTTCACCAGCCAGATGTCACTCTTCCATCTTGGTTGATACCTTCCAGGAGTGGACATGGGTCAGGTGTTTGCCTGTCAAATTGACTATGTCAGTGATTCTCAAAGTGTAGTCCAGGGGCCCCGGGCTCCTGAGCCCCTTCCGGCAGGTTCATCTAGTTAAAACGATTTTCATAATAACACCAAAATGTTATTTGTCTTTTGTATTTTCATACCTCTCAGAGTTTACAGTATAGTTTCCCAGAGGCTATATGATGTGGAGATTTTGTTGCTCTGATGACTAATGAATTGCATTTTAAACATTTCTCCATTTTAATTTTCAATACGCTTCCTATTTATAGGTTTAATCCAGATAAACATGAGTTATCTGAAGTCATCAATAATTTTCAAGAATGTAAAGGGATCCTAAAACCAGAAATTTTGAGAAGTGCTGGATTAAGTGAAGTAGATATCCATCACCCTTTTTAGTTCTTCAGAGATGCATTTACCCTCTCTTTCCCATGGGATTTCAAGTGCCAGCACTTGCCAGTGACCCTTATAACTCACTAAAGAGATGGCCATGTTGATGACCAATGGGCCTTCGTCACTTCAACAAACAATACTAAATATACATACCGACAGGGCTTTGCAAAGTGACTCTTCATCTGACATAAGCCACAGTGCTGTTGTTTTGTGTAAGCAATCAGATTGTGAATGTCTTTGCATAAAGAAGATCTAGTATATAATAATTTTTTAAAGTACATTTAAAAAATATTACCTAGCCCTGGCTGGACTGAGTGCCAGCCTGTGAACCAAAAGTTTACCGGTTGGATTCCCAGTCAGGGCACATGCCTGGGTTGTGGACCAGGTCCTTATTTGGGGTTATGTGAGAGGCAAGCAATTAATGTATCTCTTGCACACATCAATATTTCTCTCCCTCACCTTCTCCCTCCCTTCCCCTCTCTAAAAATAAATAAATCTTTAAAACTATGTATTACCAGGTTCCCCCACCAAAAAAGAAGTCAGTTAATAATCTGCATCTGACAGGGCACATCCCTGGAAAAGGAAATCTCTAGTGCTTCCTAAAGAGTGTCTTCAACACACACCCACACACATGTACAAACACACCCCAAACCCTTCATGAATGCATATGGTATTTAATAGATGCCTATTTTAAAACAGCCAATGCTTTTACCTTTTCATGAACTGTGAGTCATTCTCCTGCCCCAGAGAGGGCTTTCTGAGCTTCATAAATATTGATCATCCTCCCTAAGTTCTAACAGGCAGTTTCCTCAAATATGAATGATCCTGCTCAGCTTCACTCTTTTCTGTATTTAGTCACACTGGCCTCTACCATGGAAGAAAAGGCGTTGCCTGTAGATGACTACTCCTGATAACTGAAGCTTAGCCACTTCAAATCTCAAGATATTCATTCATTCATTCAAAAACCTACCTGAACCAGGAGCCTGGAATGGTGCTGGACCTTGAGAAAACAATGACAAAGAAAGCAAAGTGTGCTCTCAAACTAGCTCCCATTCTACTGGATGGTGATAAGAATGTATCCTAAAATGTATGCCAATGATCTTAAGAGTGTGTGCAAATATTAGAGCTTCCACTTTAATTTTGATGTATTTTTATGTAAGTAAAATGACATAAAAATATACTAGTTTAGTAGCACATGCATAAATTATAAATAAATAAAAATGCTCAGTACTGAGAGGGAATACCCCCCAAATTCTTACCAATGGGGTGTGCAATTTTAAAAAATGCTTAGAGACACTCATTGAACACCATCTGCTAGGCCTTCTGTTTTGAAAAAGGAGTCTGTCTGTCTGTCACCCTCGTGAGCACTCCCTTGGCTGGTCAGCAGCTGCTGGAGACTTGATTATAAAACTAGGGTGGGCTCTTGGCCGGTCAGGCTGCAAGAGAATTTAGAGATGACATACTAAACCCTTTCTATTCAGAAGCATCAAGGCCCAGAGCAATAACTGACTTGCCCAAGTCATTTCCCAATTTGGTGAAGGAGAGAGCATTGGTTTTGAAAATGCGATTCTGAGTCACCCTTTCTGTGGGAGG